GATAAGACTCTATAAAGGAGGCACAATGCTTTTTGTAGCGTTGGCTAATGTTTGAGAATTATTTTAATGATTGCATGAGTGATGGTTTTACAATCTGTATTTTAAAAGAATCAGGAAACCAACTTCTTCAGGCAGCTACATTGATATCTGATAAGACAGAGTTTAATGATAATGCCAAATCTGATCATAATTCCAAGTATCATGCTAATACTTTGGCACTTCAGTAGTTTGATAAGAATGATTTATTTAGTTGATGATCATGATTACTAGGTTGCCCAAGGATTGGATCAATCACAAGAGAGCTCCCTTAGCTAAAGGAATATTACTTCCTTACGTTAATTGAGTTTGACACCATACAACAAGTTGCATGACGGGCTTTAAAACTCTGCCAATGCTATGCTATGATTATGCCTTCCTTCCATTAGTCTTCTAAGGGAAACCAATTTGAAGAATCTAGTGTCTTGGAGCATTATTAATGGTGGATTATGTTGATAGACTTTTTCCACGAGAAGATATATGGAAGGAGTCGTACGAGGAGGTCATTGAAGGGCTCAGGAGACTTCTTAGGTAAAAAAATCTAAATGATAAGTAGTAACTACAACATTTTTCATGTTTTAGAGAGCTTAAAGATGCTTATGAGTTTCTTGATTCGATTTGCTTTACTGCTTCTTCGATGATTCCATCTCATGTGTTAATTTTATTTTGATCCAATTAGTACTAACTAGAGAGTTAATCGAGACAACTAAGACAAGCAAAACTTACTTACCACGACACTGGGCTCCGCCACAGGTTGGCGTGCATAGTTGAAGTGACGATCGGTTGTTGGGTCTACAAAAAAGTTACAGTGAACCCTTGCCCATCAAATCACAACCCAACAAGATTGAACCCCAAAACTATCTCACTCACTCTCACTCATTGTTTTGAATTTTGTTTTCATAGTGAAGGGACAGATGGGACCTGTTGCAACTGCTAAGATTGATCAGATTATTGTAGAATTGTAGACAACTTAGGGAAAACTGGTTAACCATGTTGAGAGGATGGAAAACGGGTTCGTTAATTTTTTAATTTTGCTTCCATGCACACCCCCTATCTCAGCATGTACCTCTTGTAAATAACAAACTCTAATTCAAAAGTATCTCTTCCCTGGTTTGATTGATAATTTTTCTCTCAATTGTAAATATTATAGAGAGGAAGGTAAGGATCATCTATACGCTAACTGATTATTTCCCTTACATCTTATTGACCTCAAGGGGTTACCATGTTTTGCCGGATTATGTATGCATTAACGTGTTTGTGTCATATGGTTGTTGTGGGTATTTGGGGGAAGAAATGACAACTTAAAACACAAAAAAGTTCACTGTAAAAATATTTGCTGAATCCTTGCTCATTTTTTATTATGGCAGAATTACTTTATATTTGGTATTAAAAATTACATAACGTACTTGAGGCAATAGCTTTAGACCTCACTCACAAAGAATGTCTCATATTTATATGTTTATATAGTCTAAAAATAAAAAATAAAAAATTCTAAGGTCCATAATTTAGTAGAAAGAAGAGTCTGTGAGTCCTGACAATCTTTGTTCTCCTCTATTGACCGAGTCAACCTCAGATGCCAAGTAACTTCAAGACAAGAAAGTTTTTGGTCCAATGATGCCAAAGAATACTACAGTGGCAAACCAAGATACTGATCTATCGAGAATGGACCAGAGGTTTACCTAGCAAATATTCAGGCTAAAAAAAACTCTCAACTCGACAGCATGTGCCTGTAAAATGCTTCTTTTGGAGAGTATTGAATTATAAAAAGACTAAATTATTTTTCAAATGCCTGCATTGCTCATAGGTTGTTGTTGACAATATGTGTAATACCTTGGATCCAGGTGTTCCTAGTCGAGCCTAAATGGATAAATGAAGGAAGAGCGCCCGAGTAGACGTCAAGAGCTCTTGGTATGCTCTGTGTATCCTCCTACTTCTTATTTGGGGTTCATAGAAACATACAAACCGCATACTCTTCAAAGCCCTACCATTAGTCAAATGAAAGCTGGTTGCCCTCACAAAAAAAACAAAGAAATCCCCCTCTCTAGTTGCGAAGGATACTGGTTACTGCATATTCGAGTAAAATGGTTGGTGGTAATGATGTGTGATAAGGTCGCTGCTAACGAATGGCGGGTGCGTGGAGAATGCTATGGATTCGAGCTCCATTTCCCTCTCAGTATTTAGATTTTCCTATGCTTCCACTTTCAAATAGTTCCTAGAAAAGAAGTATTAGACTGAGGATAGAGAAGATAACTATTTAAGACAAATATCGCTTAACTGATTGCACCATAAGTACAATACTAGAGTAAAGAAGGAACTATGTAAAGAAAGGAATCAAAGAATGATTCAACCTATGGTCCATCACACTTGTGGGGCTTCTATGAACTTCAGCCTCTTTAAGCCCTTAGCTCCCAATGAATTCAAACTTGCAAAGAAAGGGATCACTGGAAGTGGAGCACTCTCCTTAGGCAAGCTATAAGATGGCAGTAACCTACCTTTAATTGCTCTTTTAGCCAAGTTGAAAGATGAAAATGGGCTTTCTTCTAAAGTAGCCATTTTTGTTATAGAAGGTCATCTCCAAGTCGAAAAAGATTCTTTGATTCTATACACTAAAAATCATGAAATACCTCTTTTGCTTTAAAAAAAATGTCAACACATGCAAAAAAATTTTTGGAAGAGGGATCACCTAGATAGTGCATGGGCCATTGTTGATACAAAAGCAACACACAACTTCATATCTAAGGGGAAAGCCAAGCGCTTGGGGTTGAAGACGGAAAGAGGCACCAGTGGCATCATGGTCGTTAACTTTGCTGCGAAACCAATCCATGGCATTGCAAAAGGGGTGGAGCTACTGATGAGCACATAATATTGCATATTTGATGGCCTCATTACATGCGTTTTAACTTAACTTTGCATTTAATTACTTAGAGTTAGTCGAGTTTGTGATAATCTTGTGGTTACAAGTAATTATAGCTTAAATGATGGATTTTAGAACCTTGCAACTAAATGTGGATGAGTGGTGAAGACATGGACACATTATTTGAGGATTTGGAGGCTTAAAAGTGAAAGAAATTAAGGAGGTATTGATGCTTGGTAACATAGGCACCAGTACCCGCACCATTTGGTTGCAGTACCTCAGTTTTTCTCCTTTGTGACCATGATCCACTTCCAATCTAAAGAAGTTTAAAACATGGAAGTTGTAGATCTGGATGTCCTCTATATTCTATCAAAATTTTAGCTCAATTGGACATTTGGATCAAAAGTTATGACAATTTTACAAAAATTGATCCAAAGCAGGCAACCTACCGGAATGGCCTACCGGTAGGTTGAACTCCAGTAGCCAAAACCTACTGGTAGAATGCTAAAAATCTACCGGTAGGTTTTGCCAGAATGCCCAGAACGCTTGCAACTCATGCTCCACTTGCTTGGGAGTCCCACCATTGATTCTCCCACTTGTCCCCTGACATCCCTTACACATTTACATACCTCCTACACTCTAGTTGAAGACTTTGGAGGCAATGACATTAATGGGGATGGGAGAGAAGGAGGCAGCCATAATGGGTGTAGGCTAAGCTTGTCTTTGCCTATGTAAAAGTCCAACCCCTTCACCATGCTTGGATGTCACCACACACAGATGCTAGGGGACCCCTATGGACGAAAATGCAGAGCTCCTTCATCATATATTCAGCATTCCACTAGCATTTCAAGGTGTGGCTACCTAAGCTTAGGAGTAGTCCAAGGAGGAAGATGATGAATAGTGCTAGAGATATAAAATTTATGTTTTTGCATTTTCTTCACCCATTTCATTGCAGTAAGTTGTAGTTCTCTTGTAATCTTTATTTCTTGCATTGTAATCTCTTTTAATTATAGTGTAACCAAGTTTAATTCAATGTTCTTGCATTTCCATAATCTTTGCTAGGTTTCAATTGTCTTCTCTACAACTTTTCCATTTTAGTGTTAAATGAACTACTTCTTTGTACTTTACCATTTCCTAGCATCAATAAAAGTTCTAAGTTTCATTTTCATCTCATTTTCATTTCCATTTCTTTTACATTTCTCTTTACATTAAGCATGTCTTTCTTGCTTTCATGAGTAGCTAAGCTTTTTAATTGGCTAATCCAAGGAGACCTCCTCTTGGGTTTGCCATTTCAACTCCTCTTCTTTCCTTCCCTCAGTGTACGATGGTTCGGTTTGACTGGGTTGAGGGTGAACGGGATTGTGAGTCTTTGATATCCCGTAGGCTTGGTCATGGGTTATGCTTGGATCCTCACTTCCATCTTGTCTCTTACTTCCCACGAATCAATTGTTCATTTATGCACCATTGGAGGAAGGTTTCGAGTTGACTCGGCATTCCCATTGGAGTGAACCTTTTGGATTAGCCAACACTTGTTTGATTTCATTTTCGTCAAGAATAGAACTCACAAAACTCAAACTCAAAAGATTTTACACTTTTTATTTTCGCAAAATCACCTTCACCACGCTTGAACTTTCCTTCGCTGAGGAGACGACCTTGGAATACTTTTTCAAGTAAAACATGACACTCAAAAGACTCCTTACACTTGGGGAGCACTTTTGTTCACACACACACTTCGCATTTCATTCATTCCATCATTATTCCGTTGTCCCGTTTCTCACATCATTCTGAGGTAGAGTAACACTCCCTTATCCCTATAAGCCATACACACATTAAGGAATGATGTCCGGAGATTAGGAAATACAACGAAAACAACCAAGCAGCTACAAGGATTAAAAACCTACTTTAGAGGGAATAGGGGTGAAATGACACTTTCGAGAGAAGCTACTAGCCGCCGTATAGGATTCATTTGGCTCGTGGAGTATACTTCACCACTATATAGCTTGGGGGCTTGGCAAAACTCTTTGATTGGAATCGAAAGAGAGTGATCCCGAAGCTGACAATGGAAGAAACATATAACTTGTGTTTGGAAAGTGCGAAGATACCCTAGACAATGGAAGAAGTCTTGCACTGTGTGTTGTGCATATCTCAGGCGATGGAGGGTCTCATTCCTCATCCTACTGAAGCAGCTAAAAAAAAAAGGGAATTTAGAGAAGAATATCTGGATAAGAAAGCAGCATTCACAAAGAAATGGTATAAGCGGAAGGGAAAACACAACGGTTAGCGACTGCCCAATGAGTGAGACCTCTCTGATTTTCCCTTTAGAAATTAGACAGTAAGCTCTTCAACATTGAAGCTTTAGTGCTTTTGGTAGCTATTAGGTAAGTGTATGGAAGTTCAGACCTATATAGTGAAGGTGCTCTTTTTTAGTGTTTTTCTCTAAATTCGTTGAACACTTCCAATACCTCATCACACTAATTTCATCGCTCAATTAGAGCAGCTCGAATTTCTTCATAGCTTTCAAGCCCCTTTATTATGTAAGATATGACGCTTGAGTGCTCCTACGTGATATGGGAGGTTAATTCATCAGAATCTAAACCAGGCCAAAAATTGCACTCTCAAGACTTGATAATAGTCCCTTGCCCTAACCCCCTAGTAGCAGAACCTCCTTTGGTACCATCAAGAATAATTTGGTCTATATTTCCATCTTATTTTGGTCTTAAAGTCTATATTGCTCCCAATTCCTTACCTATTATCCTAACATCCTATATGATTCTAGGATTGTTTGGAAATCCCTTTGCAACTTTCCGGGCATTCATACTTTGTTATGTAGTTTTTCAATTACCATATAGTTTATATAATAAAGGCTATTGGTTGTGATGTTTATGACGGGTCAACCCCTCAGAGTTCAGAGTTAGAATAAATATATGTTGTTAAAACAAAAAAAAAATCACCAAGCCTTCTTTTCTCTTGAAACAATAGAAACAAAAAGAGAAGGACCATTGCCACTACAACTATCATCGCACAACATTCACCTACCTTTCCAGAAATTTTAACTCAAAATATTGGATTAGCACATAATTACATTACTTGAATTTTTTTCACAACGTGTGTTGTATTATTAGTATACAAAAATCTTAGAAAATATAATCAAACGATACTTAATACATGAAAAAAAAACATTATATTTCAAAAAATATATGAGACTATTGGCCTTCATGATATCTATAATATAAAACAGGGCAGACTTCAATAAGTTCATCCGACGGCTACAAATAGACTCATTCAATGGCCACCAACATCCCTCTCAAACTTATTCACATTAAATCCCTCCCAAATCTATTACTTCTCACTTACGTTACACAGTGCCTTCAAGTATGAGTTAACCCTAATCTATATATAAAATAGGATAGACTTCAATAAGCTCATCCGACAGTTTCAAATAAATTCATCCAATGGTCATCAACCTCCTTTTCAAAATTATTTACATTGCACCGTATTTTTATCCACGGTTACCCTAGTCTTTCATATAATAAAACCTTAAGGATGCATTCCATATAGGGAAAGAAGCAATTGTCAGACCTACCTTAGTTGCTTCCAAAAGTCCAAGGCTATATAATGGAACTGAAATCTACATCATCATCATCCCCTTATGAATATTTTTTTGCATGGAAATAAGTGATAATTGTGTTTATCCATTGTTTGGGACTAGCCTACGTATATTATAAATCTAATCACATGTTCAAGTTTTGAACTTTGAAGTAAGTTGTTGTTGATGATGCACAAAATAGTGTTATGCAAGATCAACTATTGAGTGTATGATAAAGTGTAATTAATAAAAAATTAATAGATCAGTCAATGACAATAATGTAAATATCAGGTCAATACACAGATATATTGTGGTTCAGTCTAGGTGATCTGCTCTACTCTGTGAAACGACAATGGTGGCTGGGGAACCTTTATTGATGAAGTAAGGTGAACAAGAGAGAGCAATGGTTAGCTTTGGGAGAGATACAATAGTTAGGATAGAGAAAATGTATGTGAGGGGTTTGTAGAGAGTTGTAGAGATGTCTCAAAAGGTTCCCTATCATGTAGAGAGAGCTTTCAATTTATAGGCATAGAACCTTGGTTAAGTCGGTGACGTGCAAGTAAAGGTACTAATTCTCCAGGTAGCTACAAAAGGTAAGTGCTATTAAAGGTTGCCTTGATCTTCGAGAGTGAGTATCTCGATAATTGCTCCCTACGTGCTCTAATTCTTCTTGAACTCTTTTGAACTTTGGGCTGGGTCGAATTCATGAACTAGGCTTGACCTACCTTTTAGCTAATTTGGGCTTACTTGATTAATTGGGCTCGGCCCAGTTGAATCTGGGCTCGTCATTTTCTCTCCATGCCCCAATCCCTTGAGGTGGAAAGAGTTTGTGGGCATGAGAGTCTTTGGATAGATGAGTGTTTCTTGTTCCCCATGGTGCATTCCCTTCTTTAGAGACTCTGAAATCTCCCTTTCAGTTGAAATCATTGACACCGAGTATTTTCTGCTTTCGACTACATTTTTTTTTCACTAGGTCTTTCATCAATCTTGAAATAATCCCGTTAATAGAGCTTATATATAGAAAACCTTTGAACTCCTCCACTCCATTCAATTCTTCTCTTTTCTCTTTGGAAGTTTTTGCTTGAAACTAGGGTTGAAAGCTTTTTTCCCCAAAAGAGATTGAGAAAATGAAAAACAGGAGCTTGGAGGCGATGGGGAGGACCCCAATGGCGATCCCACAAAGAAGAGGGTAGTTGGATCAAGAAGCTCAGGAGGGACTTAGGGCGAAGCTTCAGTGAAGCCTTAGGCGCTGCCAAGCGATGCCCTAGGCCACGCCTTGGGTGACACCAGATGAAGCCCAAGTGACGCCTATCCTAGAAGAGCTGGGCTTCACTGGAGGCGGAGGCGACGCCAATGGTGAAGGTGGTGCCAGTGATGGAGGCGACGTCTATGTCTTTGATTCAGGCGACGTTCAAATGGGGATTAAGGTACTAGAGGGTGGCTCCACCAGTAAGGGATCCATCAGCAGCGACAAGCGCACTACTAGGCAACTTCATCGTGTCGAGAGGGGTTAGAGACGTGATGGGCAGCTGTAACTTTGGCTCGGGTGATGCCTATCTATCCTCCAAGTACCTAGGTGGTGCTGATCCTACTTCTAAGCCCTTGGGTGACATTGGTGGAGGCTTGGGAGCGATGGGTGACGCCGGTGGAGGCTCAGGCAAGCCGGGCAATATTGGGAAGTGTGCGGATAAGTTGAGTGGCATCTTTGGGGTGCTTGGGTAATGCTGTGAAGCAGCCAAGCAGTGACTCGGACAAACAGAGCTCAGGAGATATGTTATCTGGTGCCTATATTTATTCCTTCCTCGATGTAGGTATTTCCTTGGTATTGACTTGATTTTAGCTTTTGCAGGTGTCGGTTGTAGGCATGAGTCGGGCAGCCGTGTTTGTGGTCTAGACGGCGGTGGCGACTCTAATGGGAACCTGAGACTGGGTGGATCCCTTCACGACAGAATGGGCGCTGGGAGAGTAGACCCATTCATGGGGGAGATAGACTTCGACTTCGAGGCCCTGTTCAGAGAGGTAGATGGACTAGATTATGGAGGGGGACGAGGTTATACCATTTGACTGTGTAACTTAACCTTGCTGACTTTTTTGTTAATCTTGATGCCCATTCATCTTCATTGCTTTTTATTGTTGTGCCAGGTGCTTGAGCCAATAGGGGTGATATAGTGGATGTTAGGCAAGCTTTATGGTGAGGCAAAAGGATAGCTGAAGGGGACGGTTCGAAGGTAACCTCCATTTTTAGCTCGATTGACTGCGATGACGACATCTCTCATATTGTGTCTTCATACCATATCCCTTTTGCTGTCATGTGTTGTCAGGTAGAGGAGGATGAGCCAGCATGTTGTGACTCTTCGGGTGAGATTGTTCTCTATGAGGTTGCCTTAGAGGTGGGTTTGAGGTTCCTGATACCCAGACCTATTTGTAAAATTCTGGGGCACCTGTTGCTTGCTTCTGGGAGGTTGGCTCCCAATGAGTAGAGAGTGATCCTAGGGTTTTTCTCACTATGGCGGCTAGTTAATAGTGTTGATGTTCCTCCTCCATTTGAGGAGTTTTTGGTCACGTATGTGCTTCTGGATAGCCCGTTTCCTCATCAAGGGTGGTGTCATTTCTCCACGAGGTTAGGAAAGTTCGTCACTGGGCTTCCTTCGAACTGTCATAGCTAGAAGTCTAAGTTATTCTTTGTTGGAGGTGAGTGGGTCACCGAGGGAGATCATGACCTAGTGCCTTCGAGGTGGGACACCATCCCAAGGACTAAGTTAGGTAAGAATTCCACATTTTCTTTTCCTTCTTGTCTTTACATATACTTGTTCTTACTTTTGGTTGGTTTCTTTGTAGTTTCACTTACATTATTTGCGGAGCAGGAGAGTAGGCTGCAGGTAGTTCGTGATCATCCTTTCAAGGAATTCTCAGAGATTATGTCCGCATTAGGTCGTCCCAAGGTTTCTCATAGGCCAAAGAGGAAAGGTACCAGATCCTTCCAATAGACTCTTGATGGTTATGACGTTGTAAGATTTTTGTCTCACACCAAGTTTGTAGGTACTTCTATTGATAGGGCGATGGTGGAGACTCTCTACCCTTCCAGGATGGCGTCTTCCCCTCCTTCTTCTAAGAAGGCGAAGTCTGATACCCCCAGCGCTTGGGGCCTGTCGGCCCGGCGCTAGGGTCTATTTGCCCGGTCAGTTCTCGGGAAGTGGGACTTGGTGATGCCTCCATTCCTTCCCCTACTGTGATCCCTTCGCCTTCCAGAGCTCATCCTAGTATGGCTATAGGGATTGAGGCTCTAGTATGGTCTCTTACAAGGACCGAGGCTCTGCCTAGCTATTCTGCTTCTAGCAGTGGTTCAGTGTCTATGTTGCAAGACGTGAATTTGGCCAAGGAGTGATTGTGGGGGTTTGTGACCGTCGCGGAGATCCAGAAGGTTGGTTCTCGAGGTCTAGAGGGCATCATTGACGCAGTGATATAGGGTTTTCCTTCAGTATGTCTTTTATTCATCTTTGACCTTGTGCCTGACTTATTTCTTTTCATGTTTTTCCTTTTGAATGCCTATAGGTGTCTGTTGCTTTTCCATGCTTGTTTTCAAGTACAATGAAGTTTAGAGAGGCATTCAATGGTTAAGCAGTGGAGAGGCAGGCACGAAGGATAGCTAAGGAGCTCGAGAGGCAGATGCGAGAGGCTTTCGAGGAGCAGTCTGGGCTAGCACACGAGAGAGCCACCACACTTGAGACTGAGCTTCTAGCGACCCATGAGAGGGCCATCCAGTTGGAAGCTGATAGAGAGGCTGCCTGCATTAAAATAGAGACAAAGCTGCAAGTGTCCCGTGAGAGGGCTGCTAGAGTAGAGACTAGCCTTTGAGCAGCTCTTGAGAGAGCTACCAAGGCAGAGGCTTACTCTGTGGAGATGTAGAATAAGAGAGATGCTGTTGAGAGGGCTGTGATAGGCGCCTTTATTGATGGTTATGAGGAGCTCAAGGGGAAGGTCTTAACAAATTTTCCACTTATGACTTTTTTGGTTTTGTCCCATTCGAGGCTCCAAGGACTAACGATGAAGAGGCGAGCAACGGTGGGAGCAGATTAGGGAGTAGTGAGTGACATCAAAAGTATGGTATCTTGGTATTTGTGTTTTTGTTACTAACCATGTTCTATCTGTTGTAAATAGTTTATGAACTTTTATGGAATGAGATACAACTTTTTTGGAAAAGGCAAAGTCTTGCGACGTTTTATTTCATAATCCAAACACTACAACAAAAATCATTTTTTGAGACAATTTTTTTTTGTCGCGTGTTCGTCACAATAGCCTCGTCGCAGAAAGTATTTTGCGACGCAACTTTATTTTCATCGGGAAAAAAAATTTTAGCGACGAAATTAAATTGTTGCAAAAAGTTCAAAAAACGTCGTTAAAATATATTCCACAAATTTAGAAAATAAAAAAATATTAATTTAATTATTTTTTCGCAACAAAAAAAAATCGTCGCGAATAATTTTTTATAAATAAAAAATGTAAAAAATAGTAATTTAATTAATTTTTAGCGACAAAAACAAATTGTCGCAAATAATTTTTCCATAAATGAAAAAATGTAAAAAAAAATAATTTAATTATTTTTTAGCGACGACAAATAATCGTTGGGAATAATTTTTCCATAAATGAAAAAATATAAAAAATAATAATTAAATTAATTTTTAGCGATGTAAAAAAATCGTCGTGAATAATTTTTTCATAAATAAAAAATGCAAAAAATAATTATTTAATTCTTTTTTAGCGACGAAAAAAAGTGTTGCGAATAATGTTTTTATAAATAAAAAATACAAAAAAATAATAATTTAATTCATTTTTAGCAACGTAAAAAAATCATCGCGAATAATTTTGGCAAAAATAAAAATAAAAATAATAATAGTTTAATTAATTTTTAGCGACGTAAACAAATCGTCGCAAATAAGTTTTTAATAAATTTACAATCTAAAAAATAATTGAATAAATACATTTGCGACATATAAAAATCATCGCGAAAAAACTTGTTCATGCAGTTTTTCGTGACGATTTTTATTTCGTTGCAGAAAAGTTCTTTTTTTTTTATTTTACATAATAAATGATATTTCAATAAAATTTTTCATCTTTACACTAATAATACCTATGTTCAATAATAAACTAACACAATTCCACATCTTTTTTTGAAAAAAAAAACAAAATTTTATTTCCAAAAAAAATTAATTACAAGAAGTTCTAAAAGTAGAAAAAATGGCTTTAATCTTTCAAGGGGATTTACATCATCTATAATTACATTTAATGTCTCTTAAATTTGAATAGCTCCAGCAGTCCAGCTCCATGCCTTGAAATACCATCTCCAAGCGAAATAAACTTCAGGCAACCAGGATGCATCTTCTACAAATCAACAATTATTTCAAAACAAAGCAAAACTGAGAAACTAATATCACAAATGGTATAATGTGTACAATTGAAGTGGGAAGCTTATGTTGCAGGTAAACAGGCACCTTTCATGGACACACAATTAGGCAGAGAAACAAACTGAGACAACACTACGCAAATACATCAACTTGACAAGGCACATGCAAGATATAAACAAAGTTGTATTCTTGAGTAATGCCATACTCGTATAAGTTCTTACAAAATATGCGCAGATTTATTTTCAGACGATGACTCAATCAATTTAAGACCCTGTCTAAACAAATCTCAAAGCCAGACTTGGATTCCAGAATCTTAAGGCCAAATCAAAGGTGTTATGGTCGAGAAATTATAATGTCTTAAATGACAGTTGAGAGATAGTGCCATCTCCTCCCCTGCCCTTCTTCCTCGTCTTTCACATTCAACAATATACAGAAGAAAACATGTGCTAGAAGGGTGTCATAGACACACCAAAGGATTTGAATTCCTTATACCTCTCAAGTCCCAACTAAGGTCTCTTAGTGCCATCCCTTATATAGACCATGCAACAAATGAAAACAATGGGAAAGCAATGTTATTGTGTTATATGGTGTAGCAATGACAGTAAGCATACATAGGACAAATTCCAGCCACTCAACTATGGACTCGCAAAGTTCCCAAATTTGTTTTAAGGAAAACAATAATTGCTAAAACAGTCCACAAACGATGAAATGAGATGTGCCTCTTTGCGAACCAAGATAGAGCCATGAAAGGATCTCTTCAAATGATAAAAAGTGCAGCATCATAATAAATGGAAGAACATACTCATCAACAGCATATAAATAATTAGCAACTAGCTATAGTGATTATATCAAATAACATCGATAAACAAAAACAGATTGGCAAATCATCTTATAACAAATACAGTATCCTCTCCGAGCTAACAAACTCCACTAACTGCTTCACAAGATGCGACAAGTTATAAGGGCAAATAGAGTGTAGCAGCAACAAATGTATAACAGTCCATTTATCAACCAAAGATTGCAGTTTGCAATTAAGAAATCATCACAACTATTCAAAGCAACAAATGAATATTAATTTGATGAATTGAATGTTAATTTGATAAATTAAAATTTAATTGGATGAAATTACATGTTAATTTGGTGTTGATTTGATGAAATTACATGTTAATTTGATGAAATTGTATGTCAATTTGATAAATCTGAATGTTAATTTGATAATTTGAATGTTAATTTGACGAATTGAGTGTTTATTGAATGAAATTAAAAGTTTATTTGATTAATTTTGAATATTAATTTGATAATTTGAATGTTAATTTGACGAATTGAGTGTTCATTGAATGAAATTGAAAGTTTATTTGATTAATTTTGAATCTTAATTTGATAATATGAGTGTTAATTTGATAATTTGAATGTTAATTTGATAAATTGAGTATTCATTTGAATGTTATTGTTTTTTAAAAATTTTTAATTTACGTAAAAATTTATCTGCGACGTTTTTTTAAAAACGTCGCGAAAACTTAATTAAATTATTTTCTTAATTTTTTTTTATTTATGTTAAAATTTATGGGCGACATTCTTAAAAAAATGTCACGAATAATCAATTAAATTATTTTATTTTTAAATCTTTTATTCACGTAAAAAGTTTATTGGCGATGTTTTTTAGAAAACGTCGCGAAAAATCAATTAAATTGTTTTATTTTTAAATCTTTTATTCACATAGAAAGTTTATTGGCGACGTTTTTTAAAAT